TTTGAAGTTAATTTAAAAATTTTCATATATATATNTACTGAAATATAATTTTTCGCTGTCACGTACTCTTCTAATGACTGAAGTTAAATTAAGTATATATATATATATATATATATATACTTAATTTAACTTCAGTTATTAGAAGAGTACGTGACAGCAAAAAATTATATTTCAGTAGCAATTAGTTTTTCTAAAAATCAGAAAAAATCATCAGAACAATTATTTAATTAATTAATTCGCTAATTGATTGGTTTTAAAACCAATTCGAAATGTAGACAATGCTCAAGATGCGTGTTTACAAAAATGGACTCCACACATTTCTCGCGACTCTACAAATTTCAAAAATCTCATAATGTTTCATCTCATAATTTTTGAATTTTGACAGTGAGAAGCAAGTGTAGAAATGATTTTTACGGAAGCTGCGGTTGGCAAAAAACTATTTTTTTAGTAATATGCAAAGATGATCGAAAATAAGATATTACCACAAGTGAAACATTCAACTTAGCATTGCTCACGCAATCTTTCAATCATAGTAAAAGTCTGCGTATTTAGAAATCAAGATAAGTTCTTCCGATACATAATTAAATTGATAATTATTTGAACTCCATACAACATTCGCTAATTGAACTAACCAAACTATATTTAACTATTCACTTTCGGACTATTTGAATTTTATTTTCGTAAAAGAAGTGCTGCGATGGAAGGTTTTTTGAAGATGAGCCAACTGGTATCTCTCAAAACTGACTCATTTATGAAATAGGTACTTCATGACGAATTATAGACAAATAGGCATATCAATGGCAAGGAGAAAACTAGAATTTTTGTAAATTTATAACAATTGATAAAAATGATACTTACGCATTCTTTTTTTTTTCATCAAAAAAAGTCGAAAGGTGTAATACTTCACCTAATAATTTTTATTTGTTTTCTAAATAAAATAAGAGAAAATAAATTCTCCAAAATATGCCGAAAGATTAGACGAAATTTGCTGAATAATAAAAACTGTTTTAACAAAAAAAAAATTAATGCTTAGTGTTCAATTCTTTAAATATATTAAAAGAATTCAAAACAGTGACAACAAAATTAAATAGTTCAAGCTTACAACAATTGATTGCGTTTTATTGCTTAAAGCAGTGTTTCCCAAACTTATGACTTTTGTGTACCCTTTCTAAATTTTCCGAAACTCTGTGTACCACTAATAAAAAAAAATGAATGTATTTTATACTAGAAAAAAATTGCACAAAAGTTAAAAATCACAACTGGCTGGTTAACACCACTAATTAACACAACTGCAAAAAATAACCAATAGAAAAATACGTAATCGTAAATTTTCATAACTAGCCTTGTTTTTAAATAAAGCTTTTTGAAATTTTCGTTTGTGGCAAGATATTTCGCATAAGAACGCGTACCCCCACTAAACTGCTCCCGTACCCCTGGGGGTACGCGTACCACACTTTGGGAAACACTGGCTTAAAGCTTATCTAATATTAAGAAGCCAATACAATATAAAATTCATAACAAGTAACGAAGCTATTAACAATGCGAGAAGGCAATTAAAAAATTCCCAAATCATCCCCTTTTCTTAATTCAACAAAATGGAGAATGTAAAAAGTAAGTACAAAACAACAAATGAAACAGAATATTCAGATTCCAAAGCTGCCTCATTAGAAAACAACACCTGCAGTTCGTTAGCAAACAGGAAAAAAAAATCATTGATTTGGCTGTTTAAATGCATCTGTTTTCCCATGAATCTAGGCTTTTAACACTTCAATCTCAATGAATTCCAGAATCCTCCAACTACAGGAAACAGCTCAATTACTAGCATTCTCCAGTTCATTCATTGATATGGGGCTGAAGGAGGGCCCGAAGTAGGGGGAGAGTCGGCGATTCGTTTGGGACAGTTTCCTGTGACAAAGTGAGTGTCAAGACCCCCATTTCATTCTTAAAAATCCCCCTACACCAGCACCACAAGGGGAAGCAAAAACGAGAAGGCAACAGACAAAAACTTTTCCAAGAAAAAGAGGGGAGGTCGAAAGGAGATTATTTTTGAAAGCAAGCATCTTTTCCCCCAGGCTATGGGGAGGAGAAAATGAAGACTTCTCCCTCATTGAGGTTGGGGAATTGTTTTTCATTCCAAGAAACTGATTATTCAAGATTATTTGGAAGGACTAATAATAAGAAAAAGTGACGTGTAATTGTGAAGAAAAATATGAAGAGTTTATCAAGAAATATATTATTAAATGAACTAAGTAAAATAAAAATAATAAATAAATAAAATAATAAATAAGTATACAATTAGAATTAAAACCAGGCAAACATTAAGAATATACGTAGTACAATTTTGAAGGAAAAAAAAGCATTTTAAGGTTCAAAAGGAAACAAGGAAAGAGCATTAGCAGTTATAAAATAAGAGCGTTATTAGCGATGTGTTAAGAAAACGGAAACCGTATTTTGCTTAATAGAAATTCGCCAATTGGGGAAGGATGCTAAAAATAATATCATGAGTATGAATAAAAACATTATACTGTGTGTATTAAGAGCCGTCTAAATTTAATTTAAAATGGCGAAAACTTCTCAAAATAATTGTTTGACCAAAGGAATATTTACTAAAATAAAGAGATTTGAAAAAATCAAATTAAATTAATTTTACTTGAAAACTAATGTCTAATATTTAACTAATAATAGTCATGATTAAGCCATTGTTCAAAATTTATTAAAAATTACCAAATAGATGCTTCTTTTCTAAAGCCAGAAAAAAAATAGAAAATGCTGAGAGGCAGGTTTAGTAACATGTATAGATAAATATAAATGAAATGTAATTCATTTTTAACAAAAATTTCTAAAAACAAGCTTTTAGATTGTTGTCAAAAGCACACAAAATTGTTAAAATTCTGTAAAAATCAAATGTGAATCTAGATTCAGTCTAAGCATTTAACATTACTTCCAATAAAATCGAATAAATGACATGATAATTGTATAGAATGAATGAATGAGTAAATCCAATTTTTACTTGATCATGTAACCTCAGGAACATAGCTTTAAAAATAAACTTAGTAGAGATCTCGAAGAACATGTATTCAAAGAATAAAATGAAGAATTGAAGTAAGAAGAAAAATCATTACAACCCTAACATGAAAGCAGTGTTCAATTGTAAACTTTAAAAAAGAAAAGAACAAAAGAAAAAAAATGGGGCATTCTACTTAGACGGTATTAGGTAGTCCTATCAAACAGTTCAGTACCTATTAACACTATAAGAATAAAAACTTCATTAAGTCATTCTCAATTACTAATTTAAAGCATAAGAAAAGTTCAAAAACTGTTCAATGGAAAATATGTGTATTATATGTCAAAAAACATTTTTAGAAGCAATCCTACATTTAAATTTAAAAAGTTTTGTAATGAAACATATGAAACTGATTATTAAAAAAAAAAAGATCAATATTTAAATGTTATGTTAGAATCAAACTAATGTGAATTAATCCATAGAATACTATCAATTTTAATGTCTCCTTTAATTAGCAATCATACCAGACTCGCTTAACATAATAGATTAATGTAATCCAACAACATATTATAATAATAAACAAAAAAACTGAATATTGAACAGAAGAATAAAAAATTTCTTGGTTTTCCTTCTAAACAAATATCTACCATTTCTATAAGAGAAAAAAATCTAAATATTACAGGGTAGAGTAGATTGAGAAGTTAAAAAAATGTCAATTGTAGGCACTTAAGTTTTATAGTGTTGTAAGATTATTGGCTCCTAAAAATTATGCATATAGTAATAAATATATATAAAAAAATGATTACTCATTTGAAAAGAAATAATAACATTTGCTTTATTAAATTTTAAGGAAATTAAATTCCAACGTAATCTAAATACAAGCACAGTAAAAACATACTTTTATTGCAAACAAAAATCTAAACATTTTTCTACAAAAATAAATTATGGACTGTTTTAGATATATAATGATTATAGAGATGACCAGGTTAAAATTGATTATCTTAATGGGTTCCTTAATGCTAGTCTAAATAAATGCTAATGAAAGTAACCTTTGTTGTTTACCAGAGATCAAAACAAATATGCTTTCTGGTTTTCATAGTGAAGAAATATCCCCTCATACACTTGTACCTGATCATTCCCAAATTCCAAAATAATACTAAACTCTATGATATCAATGAAAAATACTTAGTCACTAAATGGGAAGTGAAAAAGATCTTATTTTTATTCAACATCTAAGAAAAGATAATTTCTTAAACAGATGTAAAACATTATGAAGGGCATTTTTGATCCTCAATTTCTAAATAAATTTTGCTGAGTGACTAAAAAATTTTCATTCCAATGTCTGCCAATAACAGAAAACTAAAATTAGACACATTATAATTATTATTATAACAGATCACGATAACAGAAAAAATTTAGATGTAAATAAATGATTCCATTTTGGGAAATTTAACAGCTAAAAGTAACCGATTCCACAAACCAGTTTATTACACAAAAGGAAGGCAACTTCAATAGTTATATGGTTATTTACATTAAAGTAGAATTCTTTCAACTTTTATTCTCCATTTCTTAATTTGATTTTAAAAAAATAACCTACATCCTGCTATACCATAAAAATATAGTTTAAATCAACAGTTCTATTGTTGATTTTAAGCAATTGTCAGATAATAATAAACAATAGACAAAACACGTAACTCTTGACAGATTCATTAAAAAATATTTTTGAACATTGAATATACATATAATTAAATCTGTTAGGATATTAAAACATTATTATAGGCTAAACAAATTTAAGTCATGCATCCGGTAATTATAATAGAATATATATAGCACATGTTAGCACCATAAACTTAACCATATTAGACTGACAATATAAACTCACACATAAATCTAATAATGTTGTAAATCATAAACTTAACCATATTAGACTGACAATATAAACTCACACATAAATCTAAAAATGTTGAGAATAAATTTTATAATTCAAAGTACTTACCTTCTACCCAAAGTTTTTCTATATCTGTTTCCAGAGAAAGTGATTTTAGTCCTATACAACAACATCCCAGAAACAATAGTCCGAGAAATATAATTTTTCCTGCATTTCTTTGTATTCCACATCCTAAATAGTAAAGTCTTTTTTGTAACCATGCTCTAATTGCTAAAGCGTCTCGATTACCAATGGCTTTGCCCTGCAATAATGACAAAATTTGAAGATATAAAACACAGTAATGACGCATTTATTTTACAAATTATTGTTTATCAACTTTGTTCAAAACTAATCAGCACTCCTTTATTTTAATTCAGTTACTTAATAAAATTTATCAGCGATATTAATATATAATTATATATTTATAAATCGCTCACTAGACTCGGTCGTAGCCTAAAATCGAAATTTCATTCCTTAAAATTTCAACTCACTCAATTAAAGAATAAATCTCTACATAAATAATCATTTAATTTCATTATTACGCGACCACATGTAAAGCCTCATAACATTTGATTATCTGTATCAATTCATAACACTTGTCAATTTGTTTATATACTTTTCAAAAAAAAAATCATGATTAAGGATAAGCAACTTTTAACTACCATGTACAGATTGTTTACATCATTTAGGCTTAACGTTCCTTTTGAAATTTTTATATTTTGATCCGTTTTTTTTTCAAACGATCAACTAACCTTTTTAACTTGTGCTAAAGCTAAGCTAGCATCTGCCCAGGTAGTCCTAATAAACAAATCGCTGTCGGGTCGTAGAGATGCCTCCTTTGACGAAACTCTAGTACCCTGATCTCTTGTATTTGACTGTCTCATCGAAATCATTTTCGTGAAGCCATGATAGCGTACGTCCAGCAGCTAAGCCCGCTGATTGCAAGCGAGATTTTAGCTGGGCGAACGTCGATCTTCCGATTGCTTATTATGAACGGTAATGTTTACCGTCTGCACGATGTCCGTAATATATCCATGATACGACAAGTCACCAATACAAATGAAATCGCAATGAAGAAGACGTCAGACCTATACACTGTAAACACATGATTTGATCAAAGGGGAGGATGCTTAATCGTAAGGCCTCTCACTCAAACAAGGGTTACTATAATAGTTTACTTCGCCAATTGGCAGGAATTAAATGTCATCGCTTGGCGAGAAGAGTTTGAATTATTACTTCTTTTTCTGCCAAACTTAGAAATTTCTTTTTATAGAATTAATTCATTTTCAACGATTCTTCAAGATTTGTTTAGTGTTCTTTGTACATGTAATATTTTTTCACATGCATAAATATTTTTTTCAGTGTTCGTTGTCCATGCTCATTGTTTAGGAGCTTCTTTTTTTTTTCCAAATTAGACCGAAATATAGTTGTTTGTCATAATAAGAATTATAAAATAGTTTCTTATAAAATTTGATGTCGACAAAAAATGAAAAATAACACTAAAACAGTTATAAGATTGGTTACATCATATCATATTTCAGAATAATGAATATTTTTTAATACACTTAACAAAAAAAAAGAATTCCATAAATTGTGTATATTACCCTTTTTAAACTATCAACAGCATTATGATCATGCTCATAATCATAATGAAGTACTAGGGGCAAAGTTCGGTACTAAAGATGTTCGTGTTCGGTACTAATGTTCCTCGGTGTTCCACTTTGAGCACCCTAGCCTTTTAGAGAATCAAAGCCATAAAAAAAAATTTGTATAAAGGTTCTTTTGTTAAACCNTTTTTTTTTTTTTTTTTTTCAAATTAGTCCGAATTATAGTTGTTTGTCATACTAAGAATTATAAAATAGTTTCTTATATACTTTCTTTCACTAAAACAGTTATAACATTAGTTACATCATATCATATTTCAGAATAATGAATATTTTTTAATATACTTAACAAAAAAAAAAAGAATTCCATAAATGGTGTATATTACCCTTTTTAAACTATCAACAGCATTATGATCATGCTCATAAGCATAATGGAGTACCAAGGGCGAAGTTTGGTACTAAAGATGTTCGTGTTCGGCACTAAAAAAATACTGATATTTTAGCATCAATAGTAAAAATTTTAAAAAAAAATTCGTTTCCAATGTTCAACGTCTCCTTAAGTTTCAAACTTATGAATGCTGCTTTAGCTTCTTCAATTGGAAGATTAATTTTTTTTTTTTTAAATATGGTGTAATTAGCCGTATTGTAATTTAAATTTCCGCTCCAAAGCCGGCAGAAAAACAAAAACAAAAAAATCTATACTTTTAGTAGCATTGAAATTCTCAAGATCTATACCATTTGAATAATTTTTTAATTAAATTTTTTTTAATTTTTAGAGCACTAATTGAGAGTTGAAAAACTCTATAGTCTATCTGAGTCTCCTTAATTTAGAGTATATTGTCTTCCTCTCCTCTTATTCTTGTAAAAATATGTTAAAGAGATCACTATTTTAACTTTGATTTTTCAATGAAAAGTATTTGCGGGTATGAAATTGAAGATTAAGACTCCCGAAAAAAAAACCGACATCGAAATTTTTTATTTTCAGACTGGGTGAAAATAGACAACTTCGAATTTTTTTTACTTATTATATTTAAACTAAATTTCTATTGGATTCTTCGAAATCGTATGTAGATATTGTATAATGTCAGCAATGTTTGAACTAAAAACTAAAGTTTAAGTGCAAATTTATTATTTTTATCATGCTTTGAGTATTAATGATCAGAATTTTTCTTTAAAAAAATTATATCGAACAATATATTTAATTCTTTTTCATTGTATCTACGAAAATGTTTAAAAATTTTAGTTCAAAGCACTAGTAACCATGTTATTGATAGAGAAGAAAAAATATTTTGATATTTACGCATTACAATTTGTTGTGGAGTTGTAAGCGTGACATAAACTACTTGCAGTATTTATACTTGGCTCAAATTTGTCCTTCTTTGAAAAAATAACTATCATTTTTTAAGTAAAATTATAAAATATTTCAATCGCTCCTTTGTCTGTTGAAATTGTTACGAAAATAGAAAAAACTACCATATATTTCAACAAAAAAAATTACAACTTATAAACCTTGAATAAATAACAAACTTTTTTGGCGATAAATTAAAAAAATACGCCAATTTATTTTAATAATATCGCCAATAGTGTTTAAAAAAGAGCGATAGAAGCTTTCTTCTGGTATATTATTTGTCGTTATTTGCATACGATGCGCCACCCATTTTAATGCCAGTAACGAGACTGATGAGAACGTGGAAGCCACAATGATTGGTTACGGAATAGACTTCCCCCTGACTGGTTTCGGGGGATGGCCAGGCAACGAGTCACCAGAGAGACCACACACGAAGGGAGTAAACAAAATACTGAAAAAAATACTCCATGTCCTAAATAAATGAGGCGCAGAGGGGATTATCGTAAGAAAATATTGACTTTAATCAATTCAAATTGAAAAATAAAAACTATTTCAAAATAATAACTTTAAAACTTCAGTGGAACAACAAATAAAGTTTTATTATATTTATCAGTGATTCGTGAATTAATAAATGTTTATCTTTAGTATTTAAAGAAAATAAGATAAAGAGTTAAAAATAATAACTGTTTTGGAATAGCTTTACTTGTATATTTTAAAATAAATACGTATGTCAGTTTAATTGAATAGAAATAGAGTTTTGGAATTTCTCTATAGATTGTTATTATTTACAAGGATTGTGAATTGTTGAGTTGGGATATGGTAATATTTAGAAAATTGATCTCTATTATCTTTTTTTTAATCTATTTTAACAACATAACATCATCACATTTTCACATCATAAGAGCTTATCTAATTAGTGTTTTCTCTGTATGTAATATTTTTATTTTAGCAATTGAGATACTGAATTAAATAAAATTGCTTCATATCATTTGTATACCAGACATTAAGGGACATTCGACTTGGTCGTCAATATATATTATTGCTACGAATATAGATTGTAATCTCTATGTTAAATTTACGAAAAAATGGCTCAAGTTTATAATACAATTCTGACATCAATACTTTTTCAATAGATTTTTTTTAACTTTTGAATTAATTTTTTTTACACGCATTTGTCATAGAAATTCTATTATCTATATAATATTCAGCATGATTTATATAATATTATTCTTTACATCGCAAATAGTCTTCAAAAAGACATTGGTGTTATACTTTCGCTCGAAATCGATCATTATTATAGATTTTATAAAAAATTACATGCAACATCCTTTTAAACGAAGCATCAACATGCAACATCCAATAAAAAGAAACAATCCACAGACAAAACTAACGGTATATTTTTAGTTTAGGCGGTACTTGAAATCCGCCCGCATTTTTATCTGCAAAATTTAGTGCAGTAGAGCGCCGATTATCCGAATCAATTGGGACCCAAGTCAATCCGGATAATTGTGTAACTTTGAAAAACGGCTATGAGAAGGTTTTCAAGTAACTTCCCTTCAAACTCTTCCCAGGCTAAGATGTAGCAATTGTAGTAGTGCCTGTTATACCATATTACAAATGGCATGTTTAACACTAGATTGCCTAAGTAAGTCATTTTGACTGATTTTAATTTCAATTAGAAAAACAATGATGTATATAATGACACAATTTCTTAGAATTTTGTACAACATATAATTTTTTTATTGTTAATAATGATTAAGAACTTGTTATATAACTGTAAATAATATAAAAAATATTAAAAATTTATTTTAAACAAATTTCTTTACATATTTTGACTGAATTTTCTTAAACTTTTATTAGAAATCTGATAAAACTATTTGCCAGTTGCCACATACATTAAAATTGGGCGAAAGATTCTTTTCTAGCTCAACGAAGAACAAACAAAGTCATTTTTTGACCCCTTTCAGCTATTCCGATATTAAAAAGAAATAATAATATTTTTTATTTTTTGAAGGTCGAAAAAACTCACGGTTTTTGGACGATCCGGATAATTCGGCAATCCAGTAAATCGGCATTCGGATAATCGGCGCTCTACTGTCTTTTCCATTTCCACCTTCTCTTGTTTTTTCTATCTTAACCAGCAATATTTTACAAAACATTGGTCCAAAGAATGGCCCACCAGGAATTCAGAAGATGCTTTAAATTGTCAAGCTGGATAGAAATTTTATATTCAAATTAAAAATTCTAAAAGAAATGACGTTCAGCTGCAATGTTGTTACATATTTTTATTCACATAATAATCAAATAGATTTCTAAATATCTCAGAGGGCAGCTAGGATAATGTCATTTCTTGTTTTAATATTTATTTTGAGTTTTTGTTCAATTATAGAAATCAACTGGAAAAATATTTTTCCAGTAATTCACTCTTAAGCACCTAATAGCCGATGAAACTAAATGCCGGTATTTTGTCTGTTCTTTTTGGTATCAAACTATTTGATTTTACGCAATCAATAAAAGGTTCAGATGAAAAATAGCTTATAAATCGAGAGGCAGTCACTAATAAATCTGTAAATCGAAGGAGGGAGTTGAAGTAATGATTCAACATATTTAGTTTTGACTTTTGGAAATCCATAGAGAAACATGAATATGTAAAATGAAATTAAAGAAGCAGAATAAGCCAACACTCAATTCTCATACTTCAAAAGAATAACTCCTTTAATATTAAAAAAAATTTATTTCAATCTAGCATTTTCAATTTTAAAAATTCTCCCTCTCTCTAAAAAAATATTTCTTGTTGTATCATAAATATTAATACAATATAGTAATATTGAGTGAAATTTGCAATATACGAAGATACCACTTTTGAGGAATGGGTAAGTCGCATACCTGGGTGGTAATCAGTCTTCAGATTTACAAAAGCTTATAAGAAGTGGAAACACGTGTTCAAAGAACATGGAACCTATTATACTTGTACACATGGAACCTATTATTCGCTTTGTGCCTGTCCCTTGAAAGATAACTTGATATCAGTAAAAGAGAATTAAGGCTTTTAACAATGTTTTTCTAAAGTATAAAATAATCAGTGAAACTTATTCATAAATTCCA